TATCTAGGTATTTTTAACAGTAAAAATGGTGAGACCTAATTGCCAATCAAGTAGTACGCTTAAATTCATGCAGTCGGGGTACCCAGGAGGAAAGCTCATCAGAAAAATTGCCATGAGAATATTTCTATAAAAGACAGAAGGGGAAAGTACGTCACGGCATTTGGAAAGGGACTGAAATGGAAATGCCAGGTGAAGACCAATAACATTACAAATCAAACTTAGGATGCTCATCTTCGTTGGTAGTTGCATAATTAAAAGAAAAATTAAGGAGTGACCAAGGCTAGCATTTGTTATTCGAAATATTTCCATAAAATAAATCATTCGTTGGAACTATAAGTTTTTTTCTTTTAATTAAACATTGCAAACCCTTAGTATTTTGTCAAGAATCTTAGGATATATAGCAGAGGCACTATACTGAATAGGGTAGCAATATTCAATGCACCGTAAAAATGGTAGATTTGTCAACGTTCAAGAAGGAGACTGGTGAGAAAAATTGCCTGGCGCTACATAATCAAATTTTGTAGCAGAGGACGTAGTAATTGATGTAATATAATTGTTCCACTTCCTGTTAGTGGAAAAAGGAGAGACCAAGAAGGCGCAATGATTTGCTCTGCTGGAGGTTAGCATCAGCCAGGCAGATCTCTATGACGATTAAATGATAACAGTTTAATTTTGAAAGCTTTAAAATTTACATACATTTCTTGGCCCGTTAGGACAACAAAAGAACAACGTTCAGGAAAATAGGAGATAGCGATTGACGTTGTATTTAAATTTTTGAAAATTGTAGGTGGCAGGAAATCAAGAAACCGGGAGAGTTCCGCAGGCAAGAAGTGCAAGAGAAGGAAATATTAGAATAGAACTTACGGTTGCAGCTAGCTAGTTCAACAGTAAAATGGTGATACTCATTTGCCAACCTAATCGTACGCTTAAATTCATGCAGTCGAGGACTTCCAAGGAAAAAAGCTCATCAGAACAATTGCGATGAAAATATTTATAGAAAAGGCGGAGGGAAGCCATGTCTGGGTGAAAGTGACTGAAATCGAAATGCCAGTTCAAGATCGATAACATTACAAACACTCTGAATTTTGTAGAGAATGACAGGATATATAGCAGAAGAAGCTATATCGGATAGGGCAGCAATATTAATTGCACGGAGAAATGGTAGATTTGTAAACGTTCAAGAAGGAGACTGGTGAGAAAAATTGTCTGTCACGACATAAACAAACTTTTATAGCAGTAGAACTAGTAATTGATGTAATATAATCGCACCACTCCATGTCAGTGGAAAAGGAGAGACCAAGAAGTTACAATGATTTTCCTCTCCTGGAGGTTAGCATCAGCCATTTTGATGGAGGGCAAAGGTAGATCTCTATGACGATTAAAAGAAAGCAGTTTAATTTTGGAAGCTTTAAAATTTATAAACAATTCTTTTTTTTTTCTTTTTTTAGCATTTCACCTCAAGCAAGGCGGGAAGCCACTAGCACGTAAGGGGCTACAGAGGATTTGAAGCGAGGGCAAATACGAGTGATAGAGTAAAGGATGAAGAGAATGATAGGGGATAGATCAAGGCAACTAGAGATGTCGATTGACATTACATTTGAATAGTTAGAGATTATAGCTATCAGGGAAACAGGAAAAGGGGAGGCTGTTCCACAGGCGAGAGGTGCGAGATATGAAGCTATTGGAGTAGAAGAGACGGCTACATTTAACAGTTTCAACAGTGAAAAGGTAAATCTTGCCCCATTAACAACAGGAGGTCATTTTTTTCATTAACTGCCGACTTTATTTTATCAGAATTATCAAACTTAGTTTCTTCCTGATTTTCAATTGAAAACATAGAAATTTAATGCAGAAAATTGGAAAAAAAAAACTCATTGCTTTATCACTAATATAAATAAAATCTTTTGAAACTGAATCATATGATAACAGTCAAGAGATATATTAGCGAAAGTGTTAGTGAGTAGGAATAATTAGTGACGAAATCTTGACTTTTCATAGTAGCTTCAAATAGAGTCAGAAGATTAGAACTGTGATGAGAGTTGCGTCAGAATATGTATAATAATCAGGATTAAACATACTTTGGGAGATGCCCGTGTAATTTGGATGATAACGGAAATTGATCCGTTTTCAATTTCCGGCTTAGTCTCTTTCTTTCACTTTTCCGCTAATCCTTTTGGGAAACCTTTAAATCTATCTCTTTTCTCTCTCTACCCTAAATGACTACATCAGCACAGATCTATAAAGTGTCCTGGAGGAGAACATTAATGTACAGACTGACAATGTCAAAGGACACCATGTGTTTGTTCTCAGAACACAAATCGGAATTTCTAATAAAGCTGGAAATCTAAAGCGAGTCAGGAACACAGCAAATGGAAAACAGACAAGAGATCGGCTGAAGTAATTCAGCCCGCCATTTGATCAACTCATGGAAAAGAACTCACCATAGACAAAGTGGATCTAAGGGGCATATTCTCCTTGTGAAACTTAGACAAACGATATATGAGAGGACATTGAAGATCCTGCCGGCCTAATGCGGTCATACACCATTCTGGAAATGTTTCTGTTACAAAGAGAGAGTAACCTTCTCTGCACTCAGGTCACCATTTTGACCGTACTGCCACATGAATTTACAGGAATAATTCTAGAAAGTTTAGAAGAATCGTTCAAAATGGACCCCATTTTATTAATATAGTAGTGGCTGTTATAGATAACCACACAAGTGCTGTTGTACGGCTTAGTGATATAGATATCACCTCTAGTCTCTAAAGACTTTATTTTCTGGTAGCGAACTGGAACAATCTACTCCGCTGGACGAAATAAAGGGTTCAGTTCGAAATTCCAGTCACCTGAAGAAGACCGGGGCGTACAACGTCCAAAACATCGTGAATATGTCAATAAAGATGAGGTCAAAATTCCGAAAAATGTAAATGATGTAAATAATTACAATACCTCATCTCAGAAATATAGACAGATCCTGAAAAAGACCCAAGCGTACAAATGCCGAAACGTCGTGAATGTGGCAATAAAGATGAGGTCAACAATCCGAAAAATGTAAATGATGTAAATAATTACAATACCTCATCTCAGAAATATAGACAGATCCTGAAGAAGACCCAAGCGTACAAATGCCGAAACGTTGTGAATGGGACAATAAAGATGAGGATAATAGCTCGAACAATGTAAATAGTGTAAATAATTACAATACCTCATCTCAGAAATATAGACAGATCCTGAAGAAGACCCAAGCTTACAAATGCCGAAACGTTGTGAATGGGACAATAAAGATGAGGATAACAGCTCGAACAATGTAAATAGTGTAAATAATTACAATGCCTCATCTCAGAAATATAGACAGATCCTGAAGAAGACCCAAGCGTACAAATGCCGAAACGTTGTAAATAATTAAAATACCTCATCTCAGAAATATAGACAGATCCTGAGGAAAGCCGGAGCGTACAACGGTTGAAACGGTGTGAAAATGGCAATAAAGACGAGGACGACAGTTAGAATGATGTAAATAGTGTAAATAGTTAAAATACCTCATCTCAGAAATAGAAACAGATGCCGTTTTTATAGGTTGTAAAAACATGTCGATTTTAAAAATCTTCCAAAATTCATCTTGTTACTGGATTTCATCCACGAAATTCTTTTTTTGTAATCATCTCATCCCAAGAAAAGCAATAAAGCCACTAAGCCACAAAGTGTTAGTGAGTGCAGAATAATAAGAAAAAGAGAAAGACTATTTATATCCGAGAACAATAGCATACGTGTAATTAGGAAGGCAAAAGTTAACGATTGACAATGAATTTAAATTTTTGAAGATCAAATTTGTCTGAAAAGCATGGCTTCTTTTATTTCTGTCCTCATATTTTTTTAGTTTAATTTCCCTCCTCTTCCACGAGAGGTGACAGATGTCAGTTCTCTGATAGATGCGTAACCTTTTTCGTTTTTTCGAGTGAGTAATTGGTCAAATGATTGTTATTAATTACCTAGTCCAGTTAACTGATTTTTTTGCCACAATTAAGGATTCTGGTGTTTTTTTTTATTACTAACACTATTTTGTTTAGTTTCTTGTATTCTTTGTAAATATTCATTGGGGTTTTATTTTTAAACGTTATTTTTATCTCCCTCCGAGACAAATTATCCATATGGGAACTCGTTAAGAGTACATAGAGACTTGTGGTATTATGGTGACTGTAGTAAGAATATCAAATAAAAATCTGTTGTTTCGGTGTAAGGAATACTGTGGTATTTTTGGGTCAGTAATCGCGGGTAGCTATGTTTAAGTTTAGACAGACTGAAGACCAGCCTTCCCCTGTCCCCCACTTTTGGCCTTGTGGCATATTTTTTTATTAAAAAATAAATATTAATTTTCATTTTTGGAGCCTACTAAGAATGTAAACGCAGTACGGGATTGGTAGCTAGGTCTCATCATTTTCCAGTTGAAATTGCTAGATGTAACCGTAAGTTCTATGCTAATAGTTTCTTCTCTCGCAATTTTTACTTGTCGAATTTTCTTCTGGCTTCTTGCTTTCCAGTCCACTTTGATCTTCAAAACTTTTAATGCAATAACAATCTTCTGATTTTTTTTATTATTATTCCAGCTATGGGCAACAACTGAACCCCCAAATAAAACAAAACACTGTGTAAGTATAAACATACATTTTATAGTAAAATTACCAGCAATACATTTTATACAAATAAATTACCAACAATATCTCTTTGTACTAAAATTACCAACAATACTTGTCTGTAGTGAAATTAGCAACAATAGCAACAATAATTAACTATAGTAAAATAATCAGCAATACGATTTTATTGCAGAATTAGCAACAATATATTTTATCTGCAATTGATGAAACAGAATTACTTTCAATATATTTAGATTTTGCCATTAAACCCAAAGATGATTCCAAATAAAATCAACCCAAAAAACCTACCTACACAACCGAAGTCCTGAATAAAAACACCTATTTTTATAATTGTCGTATAGGAAGAAAATGTTAGCTGCTGACACCGAGGTTCGAGCGTGATACACTTATGAATATGTTTTCCGCCACGTGCATAAATAGTGGTGTCAGGCTACGGGTTGAATTGCGTCTATCCTTCCGGATAATTTCGGAGGGATTGGCAAGAGAGGAGAAGTGTATACTCCCATCGGGGTGGATGCTGCAGTATCTTTTCCGTGCTAGAGGCCTTTTCTCCTCCCTTGCGTTCACATCCGCCTTTGTGTTACGTACAGGTGGTATGACCGGCTGTGACTAGCTTAGACGAGCTCTGATCAGCTGAGACCAGCGGGCCATGTCTCACGTTAAAAACCTTGTTTCACAACCAGGCTCAGTCGGGGTGCCAATTAAATCTCGGGTTACGGGTTGATTATTTGAGTCCGAGAGTTGCTTAAGAGTAGATAATTAGTTGTTTAACGGTTGATTGTTGTCAGTGCCATGCGTGATACACGCTTAGGCGATCAATGTATCTTCCTGGAGATGACTGACAAGGCAGAATTTTTCCCGCAGTAGGTTACCATTTGGGTCAGCGGTAGAGCAGTTGCCATTGCAGGGGAGAATAAAAGGCCACATACTCATGAATGTAACGGATATGAATTCGGATCTCCGATTCCTCAGTCCAAGCCGCTATCCGTTATTCCACCGTGCCTCCTCTCCATTACTATATTGAGCCTGCTCTCAATTACTCCACCGGGCCCCCTCTCGATTACTCCATCGTGCAACCTTTCCATTATTCTACCGTCACTCATTTCCATTATTCCATCGTGCCTACTCTCCATTACTCCATCGTTCCTCCTCTGCATTACACCACCGCCCATCCGCTCCATTACTCCATCGTACCTACTCTCCATTACTTGACCGTGCCTCTTCTCCATTACACCACCGCCCCTCCTCTCCATTACTCCACCGTTCCTCTTCACCATTACTCCATCGTGCCTCCTCTCAATTACTCCATCGTTCCTCCTCTCCATTACTCCATCGTGCCTCCTTTCCATTATCCATCGTGCCTCCTCTCCATTACTCCATCGTGCCTCCTCTCCATTATTTCTCCGCCCCTCCTCTCCATTACTCTATTGTTCTTTTTCTCCATTAATCCATCAAGCCTTCCCTCCCTTACTCCATTGTTCCTCCTCTCCATTGCTCCACCGCCCCTCCTCTCATTTACTCCATCGTTCCTCCTCTCCATTACACCAGCGCCCCTCCTCTCCATTACTCCATCGTTATTTTTCTCTATTAATCCATCGAGATTTCTCTCCCTTACTCCATCGTTCGTCCTCTCCATTATTCCATCGTTCCTCTTCCCAAATAATCCATCGAGAACACTCTCCATTACACCAACGTTCCGCCTCTCCATTACTCTACCGGGCACCCTCTCAATTAATCCATCGTGACGCCTCCCCATTAATCATCTTGCCTCCTCTCCATTACTCAACCGCCCGTCCTCTCGTTTACACCATCGTTCCGCCTCTCCATTACTCTACCGTGCCTCCTCTCCATTAATCCATCGTGCCTCCTCCCCATTACTCATCTTGCCTCCTCTCCATTACTCAACCGCCCCTCCTCTCCATTACACCATCGTTCCGCCTCTCCATTACTCTACCGTGGCTCCTCTCCATTAATCCATCGTACCTCCTCTCCATTACTTATCTTGCCTCCTCTCCATTACTCAACCACCACTCCTCTCCATTACACCATCGTTCCGACTCTCCATTACTCTACCGTGCCTGCTCTCCATTAATCCATCGTGCGTCCTCTCCATTAATCAACCACCCCTCATCTCCATTACACCATCGTACCGCCTCTCCATTACTCTACCGTACCTCCTCTCCATTAATCCATCGTGCCACCTCCCCATTATTCATCTTGCCTAGTCTCCATTACTCAACCACCCCTCCTCTCCATTACACCATCGTTCCGACTCTCCATTACCCTACCGTGCCAACTCTCCATTAATCCGTCGTGCCTTCTCCCCATTAATCATCTTGCCTCCTCTCCATTACACAACCACCACACCTCTCCATTACACCATCGTTCCGCCTCTCCATTACTCTACCACTTCCATTAATCCATCGTGTCTCCTCCCATTACACATCTTGCCTCATCTCCATTACTCAACCACCCCTCCTCTCCATTACACCATCGTTCCGCCTCTCCATTACTCTACCGTGCCTCCGCTCCATTAATCCATCGTGTCTCCTCCCCATTAATCATCTTGCCTCCTCTCCATTATTCAACCACCCCTCCTCTCCATTACACCGTTCCGCCGCTCCTTACTCTACCGTGCCTCCCTCTCCATTAATCCATCGTGCCTCCTCCCCATTACTCATCTTGCCTCCTCTCCATTACTCAACCGCCCTCCTCTCCATTACACCATCGTTCCGCCTCTCGATTGCTCTACCGTGCCTCCTCTCCATTAATCCATCGTGCCTCCTCCCCATTATTCATTTTGCTTCCTCTCCATTACTCAACCACACTTCCTCTCCATTACACAATCGTTCCACCTCTCCATTCCTCTACCGTGCCTCCTCTCCATTAATCCATCGTGCCTCCTCTCCATTACTCAACCGCCACTCCTCTCCATTACACCATCGTTCCGCCTCTCCGTTACTCTACCATGCCTCCTCTCCATTAATCCATCGTGCATCCTCCCCATTACTCATATTGCCTCCTCTCCATTACTCAACCACCCATCCTCCCAATTACACCATCGTTCCGCCTCTCCTTTATTCTAACGTTCCTCCTCTCCATTAATCCATCGTGCCTCCTCCCCATTACTCATCTTGCCTCCTCTCCATTACTCAACCACCCACCTCTCCATTACAACATCGTTCCGCCTCTCCATTACTCTACCGTGCCTCCTCTCCATTAATCCATCGTAACTCCTCCCATTACTTATCTTGCCTCGGCTCCATTACTCAACCACGACTCCTCTCCATTACAGCATCGTTCCGCCTCTCCATTACTCTACCGTGCCTCCTCTCCATTAATCCATCGTGCCTCCTCTACATTACTCAACCACCCCTCCTCTCCATTACACCATCGTTCCGCCTCTCCATTACACTACCGTGCCTCCTCTCCATTAATCCATCGTGCCTCCTCCACATTACTCAATTTGCCTCCTCTCCATTACTCCACCAACCCTCCTCTCCATTACACCATCGTTCCGCCTCTCCATTACTCTACCGTGCCTCCTCTCCATTAATCCATCGTGCCTCCTCTCCATTACTCAGCCACACTTCCTCTCCATTACACCATCCTTGCGCCTCTCCATTACTCTACTGTGCCTCCTCTCCATTAATCCATCGTGTCTCCTCCCCATTACTCATCTTGCCTCCTCTCCATTACTGAACCGACCCTCCTCTCCATTACAGCATCCTTGCGCCTCTCCATTACTCTACTGTGCCTCCTCTCCATTAATCCATCGTGTCTCCTCCCCATTACTCATCTTGCCTCCTCTCCATTATTCAACCCCCCCCTCCTCTCCATTACACCGTTCCGCCGCTCCCTTACTCTATCGTGCCTCCTCTCCATTAATCCATCGTAACTCCTCCCCATTACTTATCTTGCCTCGGCTCTATTACTCAACCACGACTCCTCTCCATTACAGCATCGTTCCGCCTCTCCATTACTCTACCGTGCCTCCTCTCCATTAATCCATCGTGCCTCCTCTACATTACTCAACCACCCCTCCTCTCCATTACACCATCGTTCCGCCTCTCCATTACACTACCGTGCCTCCTCTCCATTAATCCATCATTGCCTCCTCCACATTACTCAACTTGCCTCCTCTCCATTACTCCACCAACCCTCCTCTCCATTACACCATCGTTCCGCCTCTCCATTACTCTACCGTGCCTCCTCTCCATTAATCCATCGTGCCTCCTCTCCATTACTCAGCCACACTTCCTCTCCATTACACCATCCTTGCGCCTCTCCATTACTCTACTGTGCCTCCTCTCCATTAATCCATCGTGTCTCCTCCCCATTACTCATCTTGCCTCCTCTCCATTACTCAACCGACCCTCCTCTCCATTACACCATCCTTGCGCCTCTCCATTACTCTACTGTGCCTCCTCTCCATTAATCCATCGTGTCTCCTCCCCATTACTCATCTTGCCTCCTCTCCATTATTCAACCACCCCTCCTCTCCATTACACCGTTCCGCCGCTCCCTTACTCTATCGTGCCTCCTCTCCATTAATCCATCGTAACTCCTCCCCATTACTTATCTTGCCTCGGCTCCATTACTCAACCACGACTCCTCTCCATTACAGCATCGTTCCGCCTCTCCATTACTCTACCGTGCCTCCTCTCCATTAATCCATCGTGCCTCCTCTACATTACTCAACCACCCCTCCTCTCCATTACACCATCGTTCCGCCTCTCCATTACACTACCGTGCCTCCTCTCCATTAATCCATCGTGCCTCCTCCACATTACTCAACTTGCCTCCTCTCCATTACTCCACCAACCCTCCTCTCCATTACACCATCGTTCCGCCTCTCCATTACTCTACCGTGCCTCCTCTCCATTAATCCATCGTGCCTCCTCTCCATTACTCAGCCACACTTCTCTCCATTACACCATCCTTGCGCCTCTCCATTACTCTACTGTGCCTCTCTCCATTAATCCATCGTGTCTCCTCCCCATTACTCATCTTGCCTCCTCTCCATCCACCGACCCTCCTCTCCATTACACCATCCTTGCGCCTCTCCATTACTCTACTGTGCCTCCTCTCCATTAATCCATCGTGTCTCCTCCCATTACTCATCTTGCCTCCTCTCCATTATTCAACCACCCCCTCCTCTCCATTACACCGTTCCGCCGCTCCTTACTCTATCGTGCCTCCTCTCCATTAATCCATCGTAACTCCTCCCCATTACTTATCTTGCCTCGGCTCCATTACTCAACCACGACTCCTCTCCATTACAGCATCGTTCCGCCTCTCCATTACTCTACCGTGCCTCCTCTCCATTAATCCATCGTGCCTCCTCTACATTACTCAACCCCCCCTCCTCTCCATTACACCATCGTTCCGCCTCTCCATTACACTACCGTGCCTCCTCTCCATTAATCCATCGTGCCTCCTCCCATTACTCAACTTGCCTCCTCTCCATTACTCCACCAACCTCCTCTCCATTACACCATCGTTCCGCCTCTCCATTACTCTACCGTGCCTCCTCTCCATTAATCCATCGTGCCTCCTCTCCATTACTCAGCCACACTTCCTCTCCATTACACCATCCTTGCGCCTCTCCATTACTCTACTGTGCCTCCTCTCCATTAATCCATCGTGTCTCCTCCCCATTACTCATCTTGCCTCCTCTCCATTACTCAACCGACCCTCCTCTCCATTACACCATCCTTGCGCCTCTCCATTACTCTACTTGCCTCCTCTCCATTAATCCATCGTGTCTCCTCCCCATTACTCATCTTGCCTCCTCTCCATTATTCAACCACCCCTCCTCTCCATTACACCGTTCCGCCGCTCCCTTACTCTATCGTGCCTCCTCTCCATTAATCCATCGTGCCTCCTCCCCATTACTCATCTTGCCTCCTCTCCATTACTCAACCGCCCCTCCTCTCCATTACACCATCGTTCCGCCTCTCAATTGCTCTACGTGCCTCCTCTCCATTAATCCATCGTGCCTCCTCCCAATTATTCATTTTGCTTCCTCTCCATTACTCAACCACACTTCCTCTCCATTACACAATCGTTCCACCTCTCCATTACTCTACCTGCCTCCTCTCCATTAATCCCTCGTGCCTCCTCTCCATTACTCAAACGCCGCTCCTCTCCATTACACCGTTCCGCAACTCCATTACTCTACCGTGCCTCCTCTCCATTAATCCATCTTGCCTCCTCTCCATTACTCAACCACCCCTCCTCTCCATTACACCGTTCCGCAACTCCATTACTCTACCGTGCCTCCTCTCCATTAATCCATCGTGCCTCCCTCCCCATTACTCATCTTGCCTCCTCTCCATTACTCAACCACCACACCTCTCCATTACAACATCGTTCCGCCTCTCCATTACTCTACCGTGCCTCCTCTCCATTAATCCATCTTGGCTACTCCCCATTACTCATCTTGCCTCCTCTCCATTACTCAACCACCCCTCCTCTCCATTACACCGTTCCGCCTCTCCATTACTCCGTGCCTCCTCTCCATTAATCCATCTAACTCCTCCCCATTACTTATCTTGCCTCGGCTCCATTACTGCACGACTCCTCTCCATTACCATCGTTCCGCCTCCATTACTCTACCGTGCCTCCTCTCCATTAATCCATTGCCTCCTCCCAATTACTCATCTTGCCTCCTCTCCATTACTCAACCGCCCCTCCTCTCCATTACACCATCGTTCCGCCTCTCCATTACACTACCGTGCCT